TTGTTATTATTATTATTATTATTTTTAATGTTGTGGGAGTAATGAAACAGAACAACTAACTCTGCTTGGAGATTTTGAAGATGGCTTCGATGAAGAGATAACGTTGGACCGAGCATTAAAAGAGGATAGTTTGTCAAGTGAAGAACAGAGAACTGTCATTCAAGGCAACAAGAAAGAGTAAGTGAGAGAGCACAGAACTGAGGAAGGCTATGATATGTAAGTTCAGGTACTGTAGGGGAGATCAGTGCTGTTGCAAACCGGGGTGCATGGGTTAAAGTGGGGCTGCAATGGGTGGAGCAAGGTTAGAAAGAGCTTCTGTGCCAACATAAGGAATATGGAACTTGTCCTCCTGACAGTTGGGAGCATTAGAGGTTTTTAACTAGAAAATAATATAATTGGACTTCTTTCTTTTCCTGCCTTATAGGTAAAAAAATATAACCCATAGCCAGAAAACTAGTAAAACAAACATACTGTACGAAACATAATTAGAAAGCAAACACTTCTGTATAACCCTCATCCTGGTATAGAAATATAACATTGTGAACATCCTTCCCTTCCCCCCTACCCCAATCATAGTCTCATTCAAGCCCATTGTCTTTGTGATTCTTAATCACTACTTTGGTTTTCTTTATAGTTTTGTTACATCCTCAAGAAATAAAGTTTAACTTTGGTTGTTTCTGAGCTTCTTCTAAATGAAATCATACTGAATATATTCTTTGTGTTTGATTTCTATTACTCAACATTACGTTTTTATGATTCATCCTTGTTACTAATTTTGCTATAGCAGTATTTATTTATTTATTTATTTTCATTGCTGTTTAGTATTCTCTTGTTTGCTTACTTCACACTTTATCTTGTCTGCCATTTTTGGATATTCGTTCTTTGATTTTTTAAAACAAGTTCTTGCCTAATGCAAACAGTATTGCTATGAAATGTGTACCCTATATCCTATTCACATGTGCGTGTTTAACAGTTTCTCAAGCATATTCGAATTCTTTTTTCAGGAAGTTAACTCCGATAGGACTGTGTGGCATAAACTAGAGTGGAGTAAGGTGCTAAGGGTCTGGTCCACATTCACTGAGGGTTGAGAGGAAATGTCCAATCTGAGGGACAGTCCCGGAACAGAATCGAGCTACACAGTAAATGGAGTTGTACCCACAGGTAACCCTGAGTTTTTAGCTTGAAAGACTGATATCCTTCACTGACTTACAAATTCTGAAGGAGAAATAAGTTTTAGAGGAAAATGAGTTCTATTTTGGGTTTCAGGTGACTGCTGGACACACAACAGTTTCCACAATTGTGGAAATCTTGGCTAGGCGATCAGAAATGCCTCTCAAGAACTTAGGAGATGAAGATTTGGAAATGATAACAAACAATTCACTGTCAGAGCCATGGGAAAAGAGAATAATGATAATTGACAATCTTTTTTGAGCATTTACTATGTGCCAGGCACTATTCTAAGAATGTTACATGTATTAACTCATCTAATCTTCACAACAACCCAATGAGGCAGGTAATAGTACTATTTTCATTTTATAGATGAGAGAACTGAACAGAGAGATCAATTAGCTTGCCCACTGACACACATCAAGTCAGCGGTGGCATCAAGAGGAGATTATTTAGGAAGTATAAGTGGAAAGGATTGAACTTTAGTGACTACCAATATTAATGGTTAGGAAGAGGAGGAACCTGGAAGAGAGACTTAGATGAATAGTCATCTAGTTAGGAGGAGAGCCAGAAGACTGTCATTAATAGCCAAATTTAAATTAACATAATAAGGTAAGTACTGCAGGTGCCTGGCACAACTGGAGGAAGTAAAATGCCAAAGCAAGAATCACAGAGAGTCAAACTCTGAATCTAGGTGTCAACAAAACCTATTCAGGCTTGGTCATTGTTTGCAAGAAGGAAAGTGAAACCTCTTTAAGAAATCTAATAATAAAATATAGAAAAATAATTATTTCCCTTTGGTAGCTGTCTACCGCTAAAGCAAAAAGAAAATCCCTCCCTTAAGTAATTCAGTTATGTGTGGGTATGGGAAGATAGCAGAGAACTGGAGAAGGTAGTGGGGAAGATGAGCATTACATATCAGACAAGTCTGCTGAATAAATGAGCTGAGCTGGGCAGGAAGGAGGTTGGGAGGAAGTCATGGGAGAGTCTCTGCTTTGCCAAGGCCTGCAGTTCCATCATCCCTCACAGTGGCTTGGTGACTCTGATGAAAGTGGGTGGCAGTAGGTATCCAGATGGCCCTTTAGCTGTACCTGAAACCTGCCCATGGCCCTATCTTCTCCCTGGTGTTGTCTTGTTTCTCTCTGGATAGACTTAGCTACAGTTCGTCATAAGATTGGCATTTGAAATGTCAAAGAAAAGGTCTAATTTTTCTTTCTGTTTATACTTCTGTAGGAAGAACTTTTTGTACACAATCAAAAATCTTAAGATAATAGGTTTCAGATTTTCAAATATATTACTTAACATAAATGATATATCTATAAATCATAACATGAAGAAAGGTATTCTTTAAGATTAAGAGAGTCAGACCTTCTAAATTTACTTGTTAATTTTAGTATCTAAAGTTGTGTCTTGCACATGGTAGATACTTAAAAGATATATGAACCTTAATTTGATTTTACTCTCATGTGTGAGTCTTGGAGCCAGGGTGTACGCTTTGCTTCTCTAGCAGTCCTTTTCCAAGGCCGTACTATTGTTCTGAGTTCTCATGAGAGGTGTAGAAAATAATATTTCAGGACTAGTTCCCTTGAAAATGACTACAAGGAACTTTCAGATTCACAGTATAAATGTGTACTTCCCTTCAAGAGTTTCTCTTGCTTTCTTTTCTGAGAAATGTTTTGTGGTTTCTGAAACCCATTCCTGACACTGACAATGATAGTGCTGAGAAACTACTGCAGTTAAAAACAAACAAAACCCATAACCATTGGTTTTATAATATGCTTAACATGAGAATATCTCACTCATTTCTTAAAAGCTAAAGTAAATTGGTGTTGAATTATAGATTTTCAAAAATGTAAAAGTCTTCATACTTTTATTTAGTCTACTCCCAGAGAAAATGCTTGAATCTTCTCCACACCGTATTTTCTTACTATATTTCCACTAAGGGCTGGAATTCTGAGTGATGTCCTCTCAGAACAGAGATGGGTATAAAGAGTTGGGTGATCTTCCATAGACCAAGGACTAGAACTACCCACTGCTCCAGAGGCAGTGAGGGTAGATGTCAGGGTACTAGACTCAACCTTATATGCTGGAGAAAATTTGGACTGGCAGGGAGAACTTTGACTCTCATGGCTACAGGAACCCGTAATGAGAACAAAATGATCACAATACTTGGAAAACCCAGGACTAGGGGATCATAGTGGTGACAACTCCAGGTACTGTTTGGAGACACAATCTGACAGGATAGCAGGTCAGGATGCAGCTCAGTCTGTAATGAGATTCAGGGGCAGGATTGTAAACTACATACTCTAATCTATACAGCCCCTAAACCTGACCTTTTACCTGTAGCTCTCCCCTCATGATGTGCCACCTTCCTCTTCAACCTCAATACTCCCATCACTCTGGCTTTCTTTCCAATCACAGAACAAATAAAATGAACCTAGTAGATGGTGCGCCCTTAGCTGTCTACCTCACTACTAAGAGGGTGCCTGGATATGGAATCTGGGTGAGCAGGTAACAGTGAATTGGTTGCTGTTAGCACCCACCCACTAGGTCTACTTTATTTATTTGAGAAAAAGAAGTTGCATATGTAACCAAGTGGACTGTCAGAGAAGGGGCAATACAATCCTTGGTCTAAAACTGAGCATTGATTTAGATTCTTAATTTATGTACAACAGTTATTTGTTGTCTATTTCCAGAGTTGCAATGCAAGAGGTAATCCCTCACACTGAACATTCATTTAATAACCACACACTATATGTAGAGGTGCTTTACATATGCTACTCAATTTACTTGTCTCAACAGTCTTAAAAAGTGAGCACTATTATCCTTTTCCAAATGAGAATGCTGTGTCTCAGAGGGATTAACATCACACACACACACACACACACACACACACACACACACACACACACACACTGCACCTAACTTCAAAGGCTATATTCTTTCAAATACCTCATCTCACTCTGGAGCCACACAGAGAGGCTCAGTTTCACGGAAGTGGTTACAGGTGAAGGGAACATGTTAGTTAGATGTAGCTGCAGTTTGAAATGTTTTTCATTCAAGTAGTATTTTTGGATAACTATGTACCCATCCACCCCCCAATCTCAGTGATCAACTTGGTGGTCATTTAGTAAGAATTCAACATTCCTCTAGGCACTGACAGTATAAAGACATACCTGGGAAAAAAGAGGCAGAAGTCAACATAATATATCTAGTCTAATGTCCTTGATGTCCTTTGGGAGATAAACAGAGGAGAGAACAATCAGGGTGAATGAGGCTAGAGGTTCTATCCAGAAGGGGGTCAGGAAGGAGGCAGAACATCATGGAGTTACTAGCACTTGAGCTGGGCTTCCTTGTGGATTAGCTAAAGAAAGAGAAACCAGAAATTTGTCCTTGAATAATGTTTCCTGTAAATGATTTTTTTGTTGTTGTTTTAACTCTGGTCTCACTGAAAATTGACTTAGGAACTAGGGTGGTTGTAATAGAGGAAAATCTGGTCTTTCCTAATTTGACCAAGTAAAATGTATTGTTTGCATTGGGCAGCTGCATTGGGGCAGGAATGATAAGCAAAGTCCCCGGTCGGTTGTCAGCTGCGTGACAACAAAGGTTACAATGGAACAGATTCCGTCCTCGGTCTGAGTTCCTGAACTGGGAAAGATCACCAGTGTGGCAGTCCCTGGAAAGGGGTTGGTATTGGGAAGGTCAAAGGTGCTTGCGCTTGGGTCTGTTTGTCAGCCAGGGCTGGCAAATAAGAAAGCGAAAGCTTTAAATAAGAAAGCAAAAGCTCACAAAGTTAAATGAAACCCTCTTCCCTCTTTAGAAACTGCTTCTTAGCAGAGGGCATTAACCCCCAGCCCCAGTCCGCCCAAACCATTGAGGAGCAGGGCAGGATAGGGGCAGGAGCATCCACAGCACTCTGAGAAAGGAGGCCCATGGAGAAGTTTCAAGCAGTGCTGAATCTGCACCATAAGCACCAGAGCGCGTTGGGCTACGGCGTGGTAACTCTGCTCACTGCGGGCATGGAGCGCATCTTCTCCACCGCAGTGTTTCAGTGCCCCTGCAGCGCAACCTGGAACCTGTCCTACGGCCTAGTGTTTCTGCTGGTACCCGCTCTGGCACTCTTCCTCCTGGGCTACGTGTTGAGTGCGCGCACGTGGCGCCTGCTGACCGGCTGTTGCGCGCCGGGCGCCCGCGCGGGCTGCGGCGCGGGGCTGCGCAGGACCCTGGTGTGTGCGCAGCTCAGCGGGGTCGCCGCACTCGCGCCTCTCACCTGGGTGGCAGTAGCGCTGCTCGGGGGCGCCTTCTACGAGTGCGCGGCCAGCGGAAGCAACGTAGTGGCGCGGCACTTGTGTCCCGGCGATGACCCCGACTGTGCTGCCCAGCTGCCGCTGGTGCCCTGCAATCAGGCCAAGGCTCCCGTGCAGGGCCTCCTGAAGGAGCTCAGGGCCCAGTCGCAGGTCAGGCGCTGGCGTCGACCCGGGGAGGTTGGAGTTTAGGAGGTGGTGGTGGGGTGAGGGATGGGCTACTGCCGGGCGGACTGGGTAAAGTAGGAATCGGTACCCTTTTTCCAGACAAATGACACCGAAGACAAATTAGAATGGCTTCTCGGCGTCTAATGAGCCGACAGGCAAATATTTAAATAAACCGAATGAAAGGAGGGAAGGCGCTCTTTTAGTGTCAGGCACCTACTCTGTGCCAGATACTGCTCTAGGTCCTTTACCTCCTACATCATTCCCTTAGGTTTTTCTAACGATCAAGTTGTTTGCCTAGCCAGAAGAAAGCAGAATTGTTTCAATAAAATGGATCTGCTTGGCTCTAAAGCCACCACCCCACACACTGCTTCTGGGCATATAGAACTCAGAAGTTTTGAAAATGAATGCTTGTTTCATTGGATTTGCCTTAATTCCACATGTTTTGAATTCTAGGGAAGTGACATAGATATCTCCCTGGGCCCTTGATATGATTTGAAGTATAACTGACTTGCTAAGCAACCATTGAGAGGTTACTTGTTACTCCTTTCTCTTAAGGAATTAAGACCTAAAACTGTTGCTTGTTCATTATGACCAGTGTGTAGTTCAAACTTTAGCTGAGGATTTTAAAATGTCTTCTAAAAAAAAGGTGATTAAATTAGTGTTTTGTTGTGTTTTTCTAGGTCCTGGGCTGGATCCTGATAGCAGCTGTTATCATCTTCCTTCTGATTGTTACATCTATCAGCCAATGCATCTCTCCAGTTAGTTTTATGCAGCTGAAATTTTGGAAAATCTATTTGGAACAGGAGCAGAAGATCCTCAAAAGTGAAGCTACACAGCATGCAGCGGAATTGGCAAAAGAAAATGTTAAATGTTTCCTTGACTGCTCACAGCCAAAGGAGTTCAACACCCCAACCATGAAAGACTGGCAGCAGATTTCATCATTATATACGTTCAATCCAAAGGAACAGTACTACAGCATGTTGCACAAATATGTGAACAGAAAAGTGAAGAGCCAAAGTATCAGATCTTCTGAAGGGGATGCAGTGGTTCCTGTTCTTGGCTTTGTAGATTCACCTGGTATGAACGCCATCGCCGAGTTATGACCTTATTTATGTATAGAAAAAATGTTCTTTTGAGTTACTTCTTTATTAAAAAAATTGATATAGTTTATGATGGCTTTTATTTTTTGTCTTCCAAATTGTAGAACCATGGAATTTTAGATCTGAAATGAAAATTTAGAACGTTACCTCTTTATTATATTATTAAGGAAGTTGAGGTTAAATGATTCAAAGTGACAAAATGGAAGTAGATCAGCGGTTTTATATCCCTCGTCTAGGGTTCTTTTCACTGAATAATAATGAATAATGCTGCTTTCAAATAAAAGACTTTAGTAGCAAAAACAGTGCAAGAACGATTGAACTTCAGACCATTTTTTCAGTTTATCTGAAAGTTTACTTTCTTGCAGGCAGCATTTTGTTTGGAATTTTAAAATACTGGGATTTTATGTCTCTGATATGGTTACTAAACAAAAATACAAAAATGCATCATGAAAAGGAAAGTAAATTTTTTTAAAATACAAATTTGAAAAACTAGTTTAGGTTAATTGCATGCAATAATTGTTTTCAGTTTGTAGGATGAAAGGGAAAGTTTTAAAGCTGTTTATTGTGGTAAATTTCCAATGTGCACAAAAGAGAAGATAGTATTATGAACTTCCATATAGTCATTACACAGCTTCAACAGAATAGGAAAGTCAGATAAAACACACACCATGCAAATAAATATAGAAATAGAAATTGTGACCTGATTTAGATTAGCGGAAGAAAGGTTTGGGGAAGTCTGTGAGAACCAAATCTGTAGAGTAGGAGTAGAGCATTTCAGTTTGCAGGAACAGTTACGTGCAAAGATTCGGGCGAGAAAGAACGAGGGACAGATCGTGGAGCCCCTTGAAGTCATGCAAACAATTTTGGTTTTCACCCTATGAGCGTTTTAGAAGGATTGATCTGCTTTTCTTGTGGAAAAAGGAATGGCAGGGGAAAGAGGGAAAGCCAGGGTGGAAATGAGAAGACTCATCAGGAGGCCACTGCAGTGGTAATAGGCAGGAGTGAACTTGACCTGGGTTGATGGTAATGAAGATAGAAAAAGTAGATAGATTCAAGGTAGATTTTGATTATAGACATAGACAGGATTTGTTGATAAAAAGAATGCAAGGATTTATTGAAAACAATGGTATCTATGGATATATTCTGTTGCTTGATGATGCCAGGATTATTCAGGGGACATTAGATTGTCATTCATGCCCATCCCACAAATTTGTGGCTGTTTTGTGCATTTTCAAAAAAAGATATGAAAACTTTAAACTGTAAAATAATTGATCACTGATCACTTTTAGCCCTTTCTCTCTTGGCATACCCTTGTGCAAACTTCCATTTACCCTTTGTTGCACAGGGCCATTAAAAAGAACTTGTCAGTGGGGCTAAATATGCTGTTGCTGAGAGCCGTATATAACAAGAAAATTGACAGCAGACTTGCATGATCAGATTTTTTCTATTCCCTAATGAATACTTTTGAAAATCATATATCTGTTTTCAGTTTTGCTGCCTTTATTTCATTTTCCAATTTCTTTTGTACATTATTCCCTTTCAATACTTTTTTTTCCGGTCTACCTTTTATACTTGCATCTTCAATAGTATTGCATTATCTCCATTTTGTTGACTTATGTTTCACTTTCTCTGACAAAATCTTTAATAATTATTGTTAAAGTATATATGCTTAAGATAAAAAATGATAACGGTAGAAAAGTATGTAAAGTAAAAAGTAAAAACTACCTCATTTTTTTGCAATATATTCTTCCCAGAGCGAGTCATATACTCTTTGTCTACACAAATACCATATTATAAATGTAGTTCTGCAAATTTTCACATAAAATATCATTGTTCCATGTACATATGTAACAATTTACCTCATAAAATTACAGCATACCATTCTACTAATTAGTAGTCTATGATCCCTTTTTTTGTTGGGAACAAAAGGACATGTGCACACATTCAACACATACATTTAAAAAGTATATAAAGATGAGCACCAAACTGTCAAATTTGGTCAATTCTGGGAGCTAATAATTGGGGAGGAGATTTTTTTAAATCTCATGCACTCCTGATCTTTGGATTTTTTTGGTAATGAATAATAAATATTAACTGTTATTAGGGCTTTATAGTCAACAAAGCAGTTTTGCATCTTTCACTTCATTTTATTTTCATGTGTTTCTGGGATACCCATGAAACAGATCACTCACATGAGTGAGGAACTGAAAGTTAAAGAGGTTACATTACTAGTCCAAGGTCATGTGGTCAGCAAAGGCAGATCTGAAGCTCAGGCGCTTATCCTCTCTGGATCATGTGTTCCAAAGTGTCCACTTAGTAGTTTTTAATACAGATTTTTCCCTTTTTAGCAAATGTGCTCTTGTAAGTAGAGAAGATAAAGATGACCCCAATATTTTTAATTTCATTCAGAAACTTTGGCAATTGTTGATACCTAGAACTACTTTGAATAACCTTAGTGAGATCAAGGCAAGCATAGTTATCTCATGGTGGAAACATGTCACCAGTTTGATAGGACACACTAGTCCTCCGAGCCTAGCCCCAGACAGGCCACATCATGCGCTCAAGAAACATTTCTGAACACAGTGTATATTTATCCGCTAGTTCCCCAAATAAATCTTCATAAACACTCTGGCTTTATGTTGCCCTGAAGCCTTAATCTTGGAAGAGATTCAGACATAGCATCTGCTATTAATATTTGTTGAAAAATGACCATATTATTCTAAGAGATGATTCTACAATGTATTGAGTACTGGCAAGATGATACAGTTTACAGAACATAAGATTAGGCATGGCCTCCTTGCTCCATCCAAAACCACAGACAGAAATATAATGGTCTATGAACTAATTAAAGAAGCAAATTCTGAGGGAAGCATCCGGAAATCAAATTAATCATGTACACAAATGTCTCTGGCTGATAAACATCTTGGAACTCATAAGTTTCACAACACCTTGTATCTTATCTACCAGGTGACCTATTGTGAATAACCCTTCCAAAGACAAGAGATGGAGAAATGCTCCCTTGTCTGAGTCAGCCCCAGCAGCAACAACCACTGCCTACTTTGTGAGCAACAAACTCCCACTGAGTGCTTGTTGTGTGTCAAACACTGGGCCTGCCTTCAACGCTAAGCCTTTACTTGATCTTATTTTGTCTTTTTCTCTTTATAACCTACTTATGAAATATCTGTTGTGAATGCAATGTAAGGACTGTGGAATTGCTTATATTACATTCTTATCTACGGAAAGAAACCTGTGTCAAAAAAGGGATATGGTCGGTCAAGACCCTTTGCCGCAAAGAACAGAACATTAAAACCTTCCAAATGAAAGAAAAATTCTACAAGATTAGGCAATTTATTGCCACTTTGAAAACTGTGAGATATCAAAAATAGAGAAGAGTGTATGAAACATTTATGTACTGTTTAAAAAATAATGACAAAGCAATCATTTAGGTAATCACCACAGAGAGGAAAGAAATAGTACATTTGCCGCATCACTCAAATCCCTCGCCTCTTCACAATCTCAGATCTCTCCACCTAGTGGTGGTGGTAGTGGTAGGGAGTGTGATGATTTCTTTATTGTTGTTTATAGCTTTACCACCTATATGTACACTCCTAAACTATTAATTTTTAGTTTTGTCTGTTTTTGAACTTTTTATAAGTGAAATCCTCTAAAAAGTGTTTTATCATCTTTTTAATTAGTTTTTTTTTGTTGTTGTTGTTCGGACAATTCATCTACATTGTGTCTAGAACATCTTATTTACTTTGATTGCTATATAGTATTCCACTGCATGAATATACCATCTATAACAATCTAGTTGTCCATTTAACTGCCGCTCCCAGTTTCTGGCTCTTATGAGCAATGCTGAAGAGAATATTAATGTACTTGTACTCTGCTATACCTGGGCAAGTGTTTCTTCATGGTGTGTTCCTAGGAATACATGATAACACAAGGACATGTACATATTCTAGTATGCTAGATAATGTCGAACACTTGCCATAAGGGTTGTACCCATTTATACTACTACGAGAGTTCAAGTTCGCAGTGCTTCTTATCTCTGTAACACTTAGTATTTCTAATTATTTACTTTTTGTCACTCTGGAGAATATGTAGCATTTCTCATTGTGGTTTTAAATGGCATTTCTTTAACCATTAAAGTCTTTTGGCAGCTTTTCATATGTTTACTAGCCATTTGGATATCCTCTTTTATGAAATGCCTATTCAAGACTTTTGCTCATTTTTTAATGGTTAGGTTATCTGTCTATTTCCTACTGATTTATAAGATTTTATTACTATTTTATTCACTTAAACCAGCAAATATTTATTGACTGCTTGCTATGTTCTGGGCATATTTCAGGTATTTGGGCTGCATCAGTGAACCAACAGCAAAGACCCGACCTTGTAAGCTTACATGCTAAGGGGAGAAAGAGATAATAGACAGTAAGCATTATAAAGAAGTAAATACTTGGGTATGAAAGGATGAAAAGAATACTAAATAAAAAAGGGAGAACACTCTAGGAGGCAATAGAAATGCCAGGGGTTGGAGAACTGTTGTCCTCATTGAGATTTAATCTTTGAACAGAGACGTGAAGGGGTGGCCTAAGTAGTGAGCTAGGGGACAAAATTAGGCCATGAGGTCAGAGAAGTAAGAGGGTGGGGGACAAATCATATAAGTCCTTTGGGCCATTGTAAGGTATTTGGTTTTTACTCTGAATGAACTCAAAAACCACCTCATACATCCCCTACAACACCTAAATTATCTGATGACTGAGTCAGACCATTGGACACTCTGAGATAATCAATAGAAAGCAAGAAGATACTGATTTAAAAAAGAGGAAGTGATGCTCCCTTTTACACTCTAGGTGTCCATAGCCCTGGAATTAGGAAAATGATGCCTAAGACCTAATGAACTATGTTACTGTGGAATTAAAGTCTGATGAGAAATATATGTTAATACATACATGTGTATTTGCGTGCGTACTTGAGTTCTCTTATGGCAGTTGGCATACATTTTGTTTTGATAGGAGAAGTACAGTTTTTAAAGTGAAGCTATTGC